TCCATGACCTGTATAATCTTGTAAGGTCCCTTCCAATGAGGTGCCAGCTTCATGCAGCTCTCAACCGGGTTGCTCAGCCACACCATAGCACCCAGCTCCTAAGGTCGGTGACGCGAGGCCTCGTCGTGATACAGTTTTTGACGATCATGAGCCATCTCACTCTGCATTCACGCACCACTGAAGGCAACACTCAGGCTCTCCAGTAATGAAGAAACAAACTCGGCATGTGAACCCAAAACCTGAGTATCAAGAGCACGAGTTGGTAACAGTACATCAGAGGGAACCCGTGCTTCCCAACCATGGGTCAAGAAGAATGGTGTAAAGCGAGTACAGGAATGAGTAGTGGTGTTGTACGCAAAAGCTACATGCTTCACATAGTCATCCCATTCCCCCCCATAAGTCAAAAGAGTCTTAGCCAGTTGATCAATCAGAGTCCTGTTGAAGCGCTCCACCATGCCATCGGACTGGGGATGGTACACTGTGGTGCGAGTTTTTTTTTATGTTCAACAGGCGACAGAGAGTCTGCACCACCTCCGACTCAAACTGCCGACCCTGATTGGAAAGTACAGTCTCAGGAACCCCATGCAGTAGAACATAGTCCTCAAACAGACAGTGTGCAACCGTCTGTGCTGACTGATTATGCAATGGGTACAAATTGACAAATTTAGTGAAATAGTCCTGAACAACCAGCACATACCGGTTGCCTTTCGAAGTCACTGGCAGCTCCAAGATGTCCATAGCCACCCTCTCAAAGGGCCGTATGGCCGGGGATCCACCCAGCGGCGCACGGTGGGCGGGAACAGGATTCTGGTGGGTTTGAGCAGACCAATAACAAAACTGTCTAGCCCGCTCCCACACACGCTCCGAAGAAAAATGGGCTGCGGCAGGTGCACCATGTAGCTACAGAAGAACATCAGGGACCAGTGCAGAGGGAACAACAATTTGGACCACAGGATTACCAGTGAGAGAGCCGTTCACTGAGCAGCATAACAGCCCATCGATGATAGAGAGACGATGGAACTCAGTCCAAAGTCTACGCAACCACAGAGAAGCCCCCTTCAACTTCCATTTTGGAGGCCTGTGGGATCGCAACACCCAGTCCAAAACGGTCCCAATGTCGGGGTCTGCATCCTGCATGGCTCTGACGTCAGCTGAGCTATGAGACAGAGCAGAGAAGGGAGACATACCGCCAGGCCTGTGCTGTGGGTTCTCTGGTGCCGCAGTATCCGCAGAATCAGTGACAACAGAAGAACGTGGCATATCAACAGCTGCATGATCAGCACTCACCACATTCACGTGCAGCGATGTGGGACCACCGTCCTCTGCCACCTTCATGTCCGATGAAGGTGGCAGATGATGTCCCTCCTTGTGCACAATAATCCAATTGAGTGGGTCAAGCTCCAGTAACTACCGTGCCCGTCTCCCCGTCGGGTCATTCTCAATGGACATCCGCCGAAGTGCCAAAAGCGGACAATGATCAGTGACAATGGTAAATTGGGCAAGTCCAATGTAATGCCTGAACTCCCTGCCTGCCCACACAATAGCCCACAGTTCACGATCAAATGTAGACCAACGGTTCTGAGTGGAATTCAAAGCCCGGCTGGCATAGGACACAACATGCTCACGTCCATCCCTGTCCTGTGCGAGAACAGCACCAACAGCCATGTTAGAAGCATCTGTGTACACTTTAAAGGGCATGCTGAAGTCAGGCAGTATCACTACAGGCTCGGACGACAATACCGGCTTCAGGTGGTGAAAAGACTCATCACAAGCAGTGGACCACTCAAAGGGCACATTTTAACCAATGAGATGGTTCAGCGGGCGCGACAGAAGACAACATGATCCTGAGCAAGATGACATTTGCGCGGGTTCAGTCTCAACCCTGCAGCCTGGATCCTTGAGAAAACCTCTTTGAGGCTAGACAAGTGTTCCTCAAAGGTCTTACTGTAGATCAAAATGTCATCAAGGTACACCATGCAGATGTGCCATGGGAGCTCTCTGAGGACTAGCTCCATCAATCGTTGAAATGTGGCCAGGGCATTGGAGAGGCCCATCAGCATAGGCTGCCACTGATAGAGTCCCTGTCCAGTCGTAAAAGCTGTCTTTTCACAGTCCTCCTCAGCAACCTTCACCTGCCAATAACCATTAGAAAAGTCTAATGTGCTGAACCAGACAGCCCCAAGACAATGCATCCTGAGAGTCGTCCACACGTGGCAGAGGGTGAGAGTCTTTAATAGTCACACTATTTAAACGCCTGTAATCCACACAGAAACGCCAGGTGCCACACTTCTTTCTCATCAACACCAGGCCCAAGGACTGCAGCTTTCCTCAATCACACCATCCGCTAGCAACTCAGCCACCAGTCTGTCAATCTCTGCACATTTCTCAGGAGAAGCACGGTGTGCACGCAGTTTGATGGGGGCCTGATCACCCGTTCGGATGTAATGTTTCACCAGACCACATTTACCAAGGTTCTGCTTGGATGAGCTGAAGATGTCACAGAAGTCCCACAGCACGGCTGACAGCTCAGCTTTCTCCGATCCAGAAATAGGTGACTCATCCAGCAAAATGGGCAGTGCAGCTGTGGTAGAAGACACTGCAGCCACATCAGCCGGAGCGTGGAACGAGTGGACATCAGACTCGTCCACTGAGTATAACTCTTCCAGGTGCAGCCCTCGGGTCAGTGAAATATCATGTCCAGTAGGATTCAAAATCTGAGCTTTAGTTTCTTGCTTATTTGATTGTTTTATTCACAGAATGTCCGAAGTCAAGAAAAATGCCTGTTTTGACTTTACTTTGTTTTGTGTTGGACACTGCGGTTTCGTCCGTCCAACAGAGGAGCGCTGAAGCTGCCCTGGAGACACTTTATAGAAAGGATGTGTTTTCACTTTACGGTAGTCTTTCCTTTAATTTGTCACCCATCTGTAATAGCTCTTCTCCTACTAGGAGATGTTCATCAGGGTATTTAACGCAGTCATCTGTCGTTTGCTTTCAGAGGCATTATTTGTATTTATCACCGTATTAGAATGGCACCTCAGTGTTTTCCACTGCTGCACTAGACTCTTATCCCTTATGACCATTTTTTATGGAGCTGACAAACACACTGTGTGTGTGTATACTCTGTGTATATCTGTCTGCATGTTTGCATGTCCTACTAAAGTCTGACTAGTACAAACATTTCAAGGCCGACGCTAATGTGAGCACTTTGAACTGAAACTGTTACAGTGTTGTAAATGGACATTTCATGGACCATCATGTGACAAAGCTTTACTGTGACAAATCATCATTATATTAGAACTGGATGGCCTTACTGGTTGCTGCTGCCAGGCTTCATTCACAGCATATGGCCCTTAATCCTCCCTGTGCTGATGTGGAGCTGTACACCCACCATCCAGAGCCAGGGTAAATAACACCAAATGAAACGCAAACTCTGTTGTCACTGTGGTGACACTGTGCCTCACTGGTGTTGCACAGGGCCAAACCCACCTGCCAGTCTATGCTGAGATGTGGTGTGCAGTTAAACTCACCATATCAGTGTAGATTTCATCAGCCAGAATGGGAACACAGTGTCTGAAGGCCACTGAGAAAACAAGAATCAACCCATGTCATTGTTTCACTAAGGTGGAGTAAATGCTTTGTTTATGTGACAGAGCAAATCTTTGAATCTGGCTTCAGGCCTGATGCCAATTAAAGACTTCTAAAGCAGCGAGGTGCTGTGGCTAACCTTTGAGGATCTTCTGTAAGTGTTCCTTGCTGAAGACAGAGCCACATGGGTTGGATGGATTGGTAACAATCAGGCAGGATGTCCTCTCATCAATCAGGCTCTCCATGTGGTGGAGGTCAACCTCCCAAGACTTCTCTGGCTGCAAATCAAAGATGCACGTCAGGATGAGGGCACAAATATTGTTGTGTATCATAATACAGGACAATCTGAAGATGTTCAGAGATAAAATTGCAAACATGAGAAAGCTGGAGAGCCTGAAAGATGGAAGCTACGGTAGCATGTCCTCGACAACTGGGCTGTTAACAGTTTTACAGCTGCCATCGACCGAGTCCTTGTGCACCTTGTAAGCCTCTCAACACTCACAAGAAAAGGTGATGGCACTGTTCGCATTTTCCTGGTTTTCTGCATAAATTGATCTGATCTTCACCAAAGTCACAAATATCAACAAACAATATTTCTAAGCTGATAAAACAAACAGTACTGATCTTTCATGTCTTTGTTGAACACATTAAACATACACAGTGATTGTGAACAAAGTCACGGCAGCACCAGGCTTGTGGTGTCACTGAACATCAACTGGAGTCCAGTGTTAGCAAACCAGCAGAGCAGTGTTAGCAGAGCAGCTTCAAATACCTGGGTGTCCACATCAGTGAGGACCTCACTTGGACACTTAACACCACACAGCTGGTCAAGAAGGCCCAACGGCACCTGTAGTTCCTGAGGAAGCTGAGGAGGTTTGGCATGTCGCCTAGGATCCTTTGCAACTTCTACAGCTGCATCATTGAGAGCATCTTGACCAGCTGCATCACTGTCTGGTACGGCAGCACTACTGCTATGGACCACAAGTGCCTGCAGAGAGTGGTAAAGGCTGTGGAGAAGATCACTAGGACTCCACTGCCCTCTCTGCAGAGCATTTACCACCGCAGGGTGCGTAGGAAAGCTGCCTCCATCCTCAAAGATCCCACCCACCCCCAGCACGGACTGTCCACTTCTCTGCCCTCTGGCCGGAGGTTCAGAAGTGTTAAATGCAGGACAACTAGACTGAAAAACTCTTTATTTCCCTCTGCCATCAGACTCCTAAACAGCTGAGGAGTTTACCAGGAAATACATGATGTACTGTTTATATTCTCAGTTTGCACATGCATAATTGCACAATGACTGTTGACTGCTGCTCCCATGCAGCATACATTCTCTATTATATTCTTTTATTATATTGCTGCATTTGTTGCTGCCTAAAGTGTCCTAGATTTTGTGTTACATGCATAATTGCACAATGACTCTGCTGCACATGCTGCTCCCATGCAGCATACATTCTGTTATATTCTTATATATTTCTTATTATATTGCTGCATCTGTTGCTGCTTAACCTCTTAGGACCTGGCGTACAAGTCCAGTCAATGAAACGAGAATAGAGGTGAGGTTTAGAACGACCTATAAAACACTCAGACAGTGTCAGTGTGCTGTTCACAAGCAACATCAGCTCATATGAGCCAGGCCTCACAGAAAGGAGATCTTAGAAGACAAGAGATCAAGAGTTGTGGGTTTGCATGATGTGGGGCTGCTCTGCTGCCTCTGGACCTGGACCACTGCCACTGTGGAGGGAAAATGAACTCCTCAGTTTATCCAGGTGTCCTACAGGATAATGTCAGGGTGACTGTCGACAAGCTGAAGCTCAGAACAAGCTGGGTGACGCAGCAGGAAAATGACCCTAAACATCAAAGTAAATCCACTACAGAATGGCTTCAGAGACACAAAACCTGCCTACTGGAGCGGCCCAGTCAGAGCCCAGAGCTCAGCCCAACAGAGACGCTGTGTAATGACCTGAAGACGTTCACACCTGATGTCATGAGAATGTGGCTGAGCTGCTTCAGCTCTGTCAGGAAGAATGGTCCAAAGCTCCTCCTGAACATTGTGTAGGTCTGATCAACAGCTACAGGAAGCACTGGCTGGAGGTTGTTGCTGCCAAAGGTGGTTTAAGCAGTTATTAAAACATCGCTGCCGTGACTTTGTCCACCATCACTGTGAATGTTTAATGTGTTCAATAAAGACATGAAAGATCACAACTGGTTGTGTTTTATCTGTTTAAAAATACTGTTTGTTGATATTTGTGACTTTGGTGAAGATCAGATCATAGTTTAGGACCAGCTTATGCAGAAAACCAGGAAAATGCAAACAGTGCCATTACTTTTTCTTGCAACTGTAATTAATACCAACCAATATGTATGATCACGTCATTCCACAAGCGACAGCAGTTACTGTATGTTCTAAATTTTTTGCAGTGATATCAACAACAGTTCTTAACCACATCTTTATGCCTCTCGTTTCCTTTCTGGCCTTCATCAATAACAGGACATCCATCCCATTATTGACCTGAATCACATGTCCCCTCCTGTGATGCTTGGTCAGGATGGTCTACTACACTGCTGTGTCCCCGAGCCTGTGGACAGCTGAATATGGAAGAATATTTCTTTGTCTGGCAGAGAGGTTGACTCCCTTGAATTTAAAGACTCTACCACAGACACAAATTTACTAGAATTATTTTCTGGCTTTTTATAATTTTATTGGCCTTAATGGCTCAAACTGTCATAATACAGATAGTGATATCAAAGTATTTGTGATGCTCAGAATAAAAAAACATTTGTTTTTCAACCACTTTTGTGATGATGGGGCCAGCGGATGTGAAGTGATGTACATTTCTAAAGTTCGGCTACTTGTAACTAGTTCAAATGGTGTGACATTAATGTGGCACTCGTGTATCGTTTCACTTTCAGTGAAGCTAGGCTTGCTGTTCCCTGCTCCTTCCAGTCTACTGTGTTACCCTCGTTCTGGCTTCAAACACTGAACCTAGAAGCCACAATAGCAAGTTCTGGTTTTCTATTATGAAACGTGACATAAACAAGGTACAGCAATATCAGCTGAGATAGGTTCAACATTAGAGTCTGTTGTACATAAAGAGATCAGTTTTATTGTGATCTCCTCCACTTACCAGCAGGTTGTAGAGTTTGACCTCGATGCCCATGGACACAGCCAGAGTTTTATATAAGGAGAAGCCTGGGCACGGGACCAGGATGTTGTCCCCTGGATTGCACAGGACACTGATAGCCAGGTCAATGGCCTGGCTGCAGCCACTGGTCAAAATCACATCCTGGAAGAGGGTGTTTTCATTTTAGGCACAGAGACACAAAAACCATAGGTTTCCATTCATGTTAACACACTTCCCATTCCTAGACTTGACTAAAGTCACTGTTACAGATGGAGGACTTCTAAGGTGTGCACTCTGATGTACATTTACTTTGTGAATAAAGGCCTATTTATTGTGAGCATAATATTATAATCGGATTTCCATTCGCTCACAATGTGCTTGCAGTGCACTTATTGTGTGCGATTCAGATTTAGAAGTAGTGCTACAGAGAAATGAACAAAAGTATGAGGTGAATGTGAAGTAGGCACCTCTGCCTCTAGCGGAGCCTCGGGGCAACTGTAGAAGTTGGCCACTGCCTGTCGGCTCTCCCGGTAACCTGCCACAGGACACAGAGAAAAGGTACAGTATGTATGCCAACAGAGTTGCATGAGACCAACAGACTGTGTGACGGCGAAGTCATTATAGCTGTGAAACTATCTGTACAAATGATGTTTCCACCTTTTGTGCATTTAAAGATGCTTGCTTTGTCTGTTCGTTGGTTAGTGTGACTCACCAACAGAAGGAGCGTAGCCGTTGTACTTTTGAGAGTCTATAGCATCTTTCATGGCCTGAAGCACGGCACCATCTGTGGGCATGTTTCCAAACACAGTGGGGTCCCCTGGAGAACCATCAGCCAACAGTGAGATAAAACAAAGATGAAGCATTAAATGAATACAGAACATTTCTCTGAACATGAAAAGACACAAGTCAGAGACGGCAGCGCACTAGTGGGAGCCTTGTAATCACACATTACTGGATTAGTTCTTACCTGAACACTGTCTGACTGCTTTTTGGGTTATTAATTAATGAATCAATAATTAGTAATTACAAAGCAGCAAAGCGGTTTTTCTGAACGAGTGTTTATTCAATCAGAAACCCTCTGACCTATGGACAGTGCGATCATGGGTTTATCCTTGTTGGGGGTGAGCTTCATGCCGTCCACGATGGCCCTTATGGGATTGAACGTGTTGTTGGCCATCTCTGAAGGCTTTACTTCCCACCTCTGTCGGCGGCTCTTCACTTTGGCTGGGTACAAACTCCCATTTACACTGACATGGAGTTTACCATCGTGCACTCCCTTCCCAGCGCCTCCGGTCCCGTTCAGGCTTGTGCCACTGACACCGGTTTTGCCGTGGTGTCCGTTTCCCTTCATCTGAACCAAGTAAGACTTGCTCTCCATCCTGGAACAGATAGGGATGATGAACACTGAGTGTCAAAACACCAACAGGATTATTTCCGGTGATGGAAAGCAACTTTACTCAAGTACTGTACTTAACTGGGTTTAATCTTATTTATATTATATATTTATACTTTTTACTCCACTGCATTCGACAGATATTGTTTCTTTACACATTAAGATCTGACATACAACCAATTGATTATTTTAAAAAATATAGGCCTAATGAATTGTTATAAACTACCCAACACTACAGAAATATTCAGAATGAGGTCCCCTTAGTCTGCTACATCATGAATTGCACGTTATTAGTAATGAAAATAAAATAAGATGGCCCTCTTAAAGTGGCCATTCTGCTTAACTATCCTCTGCATATGTGTTGAAGTTATTCTGCGCCTTTTACTTTTTTTATAGCAGGGTATTGCATCATTTAATGGAGGGTCTGAACACTTCAGCCACTACTATGGTAAATGTTGATGCCAACTGCACAAACAACACTTCAAATCTTATTTTTCATTAATAAAACATGATTAATACACACGGTAAAGATTAATATCTTCAAATCATTAAAATATACTCTCAGTTATGCATTTTATTCTCAGATGAATTCTTACCGAATTCTGCAGTTTTAGATTTGTCTAATATTATTGATGCGTAACAGAGATTTCTATTTACTGAAGGGAAATGTAATCGGTGACCTTCTCCTTCGACCCGCAGACCAGCCAGTGATCAGTTTATCCACATTAAAAACCGATGGAGTTAGTTAAGTCACACAAGTGTTGTACTGTTTCCCATGGTCTGCATAATTTTTCACTATCAAAATTAAAACAAATAACTTTGAAAAATCTATGGACAATTATTTACCATCCAAAACATGAACAAAACAAAGCTGCACCGCGCACCCTCGTGAAGAGGCTGGGTAGTTGCAACAGCTTCAAATAACCCACATCATGAAAAATGAGGTTTTGTAAACTGACAAACTGAAAATGTGCATTTAATTATCCAGCAACTCCATTATTCATTAATTCAGTTCATCTTTTTTCAGACCACAGATTAATTGAAATGATGAAGCTCATGCTTATTACTCACCTCACTGAATATTCAACAGAAAAAGGAGCGCACGTTAACGAAGCTCAGCCTAAAACGAATGTGAAGTAAGCTATTCAACTGGGTTTATAGCAGGATTCTCCAAAATGGGTGTTGAACGCTGCTCATGTTTCCATTGGTGGAGCCTGAGGGCTGGGCCATTACACCCCTCTTTCTCTGCTAAACAGAACCATACCACCTCAAACCCAAAGCCAATTACGTGCTGAAGGCCAGGGGCAGGTCTCACGCACTCCACAGGACATCTCACTGGTGTCTGCAGGCGTGCGTCATGCGTCTCCACGTCAATAAGAATGAAACCACACAGAGAAACAACAAAAGCCTCCCCTGTAAAATAGATTTTCTTTCAAAGAAATTATTTTATTTCACACAAATATTGTACTTCACTAGACTTATTTGGCAGCTGTGATTCTATATATGATCTTCCAAGTATTATAGATGAAGCTATCAACAATGTATACAATTGTTAAAATCAACAGTAAAATGTTACAAAATACGCATCAATGATGATTCCATTTCTAGTATAGTAATATCTAATAATTATAATAACACAGGGTCATTTTCTGCACAAATACTGTATAACAAGTGTCAAGCATGAAATGTTGGGAATTTTGTGATGAGGGGAGCACAACCAGCACACTACAGACTGCTGGTGCCTTGGCTGGAGTGTGTAATGCTGTGGAAACCATGACAACATGTTGGAATATGGTAAAACACCTGGACTCTGGGCTGTAGTCACTGTGAGTCAGCCGCAGTACATTTTCAGAGTGCCATACAGTAAATAAACTCTATTTTTTGATAGGATCAAATTTCATCACATCAATCTTCATAAAAAATGAAACTTTAATCTTTTTCCCAGACACATGTATGGGTGACAGGAGTAGCTTCTTGTAGAACCTTCATATCTGGTGATTGGTTCATGTTGTTTTGACTGGAGCATAAAGAATGGGTCTGGTAGAACAGCTGGCCTGCACTATCCAGACATCTGGCTTGGCTTCTGGAGTCTCATTCAACCAACCTTTGGGCTGTGGGAGGAAGCTAGAGTACCTGGAGAGAACCCACGCTGCCACAGGGAGAACATGCAGAATCCAAGTTCAAACCCAGAACCTTCTCGCTGTGAGGCAACAGTGCTAACTACTGCACCATGACGATGCTAACTACTGCATTGCAATGCTGCCCCAGTTAGACTTTGTCCTCTGTGTAAAAGTTGTAAAAATACATGATGCAATACTCCAGTCAGAACAACAACTGTAGGTCTCTTTCCTCTATGATGCCACCTGCTCAAACAAAAAGTTACTTATTCATGATGGGTATGACCAGAGGTTGAAAGTAACTAAGTACATTTATTCAAGTACTATACTGAAGTACAATTTTGAGTTATCTACACTTTACTTGAGTATTTTAATTTTCTCCTACTTCACACTTTGACTTTTCTACATTTTAAAGAAAAATATTGTACTTTGTACTCACTACATTTATTTGATAACTTTAGGTTAATAAAACAAAATACAGTATAATCATAAGATGCATTGATCCTCAGTGTAAAATTCACAAGCCACCCAGCAGTGATTCAAATGAGAAGCATGTAAGGTAGGTTAAAATTAGCTCTACCTTTACAAGCTGCGACATTAAATGTGATGTACACAATAATACATCATTAATTATAATTGAATAATATGATGAACATCACTGTAAACTTTGTCATTTTGTATGATGAGTACTTTTACTTTTGGTACTGTAAGTATATTTTATTCTAATACTTTCATAATTTTACTTAAGCAGCATTTTGAATGCAGGACTTTTACTTGTAACAGAGTATTTTTACACTGTGTTTTTGTTAAGTAAACAATTTGAGTACTTCTTCCAAGACTGAATATGACATACAAAGGCCAATACCGGAGTCAACAAAACACATGTGTGTCAGTGTGTCTGTGTCAGTGGCACAGACACACTGATGTTAAGTTTATCAGATGCTTTCGGGTCAGGCTGTAGTGAACGATGTGCAGCCTGACTGGTTGGCAGCGAGCGGGGAAAGGATCAAACTTAAACACCATCTGTGTAAAATTGCTCCTTCTATGAATGTCAGTAGGTCAAGCTGCATTTCCTTTACTGTGGGGTTCCTCTGCCTAGCAGGTCAAGTTACAATCCCTTTTGAATGAAATAATGTCATGGAAGCTTAAGCGGTTTCCTCTGTGAGTAACACTGAGTAACAGCATAGTAAAAAGTGGTTAAATAAAACACCAACAAAAACTAAAAGGAAAGGAAGTGCTCTCACAAAAATGGTTTGTTTATGCATTTATACTATTGATGACTTCCATGAAAAGCCCAACACCAACAATCAATTTCGTTTAAAATACAGTACAGCTCTTTGGTACAGGAGTATAACTGGTGTTACACTGATGCTACACAGAAAATGCTTTTCAGAAAAATAAATTACTAAGATATTCAGCACAAATAGCCAGCAATAGTCAAAGTTGTCACAAAATATGATTTTCCTGAATTAGGATAATCCCTTATCCTAAAGGTTTTCTTCAATATTTTACTGATAAAATCACTAGCATTAGGCAGTCCTCCAGCTCTACTAATCCTGACCCAGTTGATATTCATCTGCATTATGCTGTCTTTGATCAGTTTGAGCCTATATCCTTGCCTATGCTATCTTAACTGGTTCACCACATGGAAGCATCTCACTGTTCTTTGGATTGTTTGCCAACTAGATTGTTTAAGGATGTTTTTGAGTCTGTTGGGCCTAGCTTTATGGCTCTGATTAATTTATGTTTAAGGACAGGCTCAGTTCCAGATCCTTTTAAAAAAAGCGATTGTCCAGCCTCTTCTCAAAAAGCCAAATCTTGATCCTTTAATGTTTTCTAATTTTAGACCAGTGTCTAAATTATCTTTTATGTCCAAAGTTCTGGAGAAGATTGTTTTTATCCAACTTCGGTCTTTTTTGACAGATAATGGCATTGAGGAGCAATTTCAATCTGGTTTTAAATCAAAACATAGCACTGAATCTGCGTTATTAAAAATCTGTAACAATATCCTGTTGGCTAGGGATGCCAGGGATTTGGTTTTATTAGTGCTTTTAGATCTTACTGCTGCCTTTGATACAGTGGATCATGAAATCCTCTTATCTCATTTGGAGCAGTGCGTAGAAATTCAAGGTACTGTTCTTAACTGGATTAGATCTTATCTCACCAATAGCGGTTCTACTGTTAATATTGTTCATCCTCTTCAACAGTCCTTTCCTATGGTGTCCTCCAAGGATCTGTGCTTGGTCCCATTTTGTTCTCATTGTATATGCTCCCATTGGGATCTATCTTAAGGAAATATGGTTTTCAGACATTCAGATTTACTTACCGTTAAAGGCATCAAGAGGGATGTCATTACAGCTGCTGTTTGACTGTCTGACAGACTTGAAATCATGGTTCGCACTTAACTTTTTAAATCTCAACAAAAATAAGAGTGTGTGCTATTTGGTGACCTGGCAAATTTAACTGCTTTTAACCAGGGCCTGGGCCCCCTAGCTCGACACCTGAAGTTGACTGTAAAAAATCTAGGGGTGATTGATGGCGACTTGAGGTTTGACAAGCAAATCGGCTCAGTTGTGAAATCTAGCTTCTTCCACCTGAAGCTGTTAAGCAAGGTTAAGTCATTACTTTCTTTTAATTATTTTGAGATTTCAATCCATGCTTTTATTACTTCTAGACTTGATTATCACAATGCTCTATACTATGGTGTTAACCAGTCCTCCATCACTCATCTCCAAATGGTGCAAAACGCTGCTGCTCATCTTTTGAGCAGTACTAGGAAATTCGAGCATATAACCCCACTACTGGCTTCTCTCCACTGGCTTCCAGTCCATTTTAGAAATGATTTTAAGTTACAGATTTTTGTTTTTAA